TTAACTACAAAGTTGCATAACTTTTCAAGATCTAAAACTTTTGCTTTGGTCATTTTTCCATTGAGATCATTTGAAAAATTAAAATTTTATTGGGTAGCTCCTATTTAAAGACGACTCCATTTCTAGCAGCCTCAGCCACTTCTAAAATTAGGAGCACTTTTAAAGGCGGCTCAAAACAACAGCCGCTTTTATAGTGCCACTGTAGAGGCGGCTTCTAAGAAAAGCCTCCTACAAATCGTTTTTTATAGTGTTCTTTGTCTGTACACCCAAACAGAAATAGGGCTATGAAGCTAGAGGAAGAGGTATAGGCTGTCTTCATGCAAATCTCTGAGTGTGCACAGCTCGTGAGCGTCCAAAGGCATATGAAAAGCTTTATTTTTCTTTTTAATTTGAACATGCTAGATCTTCCCAACTGTCACATCATTTTTCACTACAAATAGCATGTTTTACGCCTTGTTTAGTTGGACCCCAAAGTCCAAAAAGTTACTACAGTACCTGTCACATCGAATGTTTGCGGCCCGTGCATGGAGCATTAAATGTAGACGAAAATAAAAACTAATTGCACAGTTTAGTGGGAAATTGCGAGACGAACGTTTTGAGCCTAATTAGTCAATGTTTGAACACTATTTGCCAAATAAAAACAAACGTACTACAGTAGCCCCAAAATCTAAATTCACCCAACTAAACAAGGGCTTAAAGAAGAGGTACGATGCTGGCATCTAGCGTTGTAGTGAGGCTAGTAGCTGCGTGTGGGTTCTGAAATGTTATGTGGCCATGCCCAACGGAGTTCATGTATAGTAAGGCCCTGTTTGGCATGACTTCAACTTTGGGTGGAGCTGAACCACTCCAGAACTCCAGGTGAAGCTAGCTCTGGGTGGAGTTGGAGCTGTCTAATGAGGGTGTTTGGTTGGGAGGGTGTCCCAGCTCCAGAAAAGATGAGTTTGAGGGTAGATTGCCATTCTTGCCACTCGTTCGATTTGAACTACTTCTCACAAATATGAAATGAAAGTACATGCAGTGGAGTCCAAAATAGTTTTCACATTTGTCAAGCCAGATTTTAGGATCCACGCCCTCAAACTTTGGAAATAGCATCTCAGGCAGAGGTGTATAGTTGTGGTGTGAATCAACAAAAGGCCTATGGTGACTGGGTTCAGTACGAGGATGAGGCTGGACACTGGAGAAAGGTCGCTCCTGTTGGGGAGGAATGGAAAACAGTGGAGATAGAGATCTTGGTGATTTGTCCTCTGTCTCAGCATCCATATGCTCTAAGGTGAGACGAGCAACTGCCTTTCCAGTGTCTTCGATTTGTTTAACCATCAACTGCTGATCATGGGAGGCCTGCTGCACATCTTGTGAGTTGAGATCCATTTTTTCCAGCAATTGCTGTTGCGTGGAGACGATGTCCGTCACATGATTTGGAGGCGTCCAGCTTTGAGAACCGCAAGTAGGCATTTCGTCGATCACCTGAAGGGCAAGGTGAAGTTGCCGCCCCTGAGTGCTCCCGAACAGCTCCCAAGTCGACCGCCGCCTGCGCCGTCACACACCCACGCCGAGGATCGACCTTCTCTGATACCAGCAGTAATACCGCTGGCCACTGGCGTCCGGTGAGGAGCCGGAGACGCGAGCTCGCAACCAGGGTGGGGGATGACGGGGAGGTGGGAGCAGTGGCGGATGGTGGAGTGAGAATAGGCCGGCACGCACGGGGACGGCACAGGCTGCGGCACGGACGGGGAAGGTGGGGGTGGCGGCGGGGATGCGCCCTCCAGCCGTCGGGGGAGTGTGAATGGCGGCAGGTCGGCAGTGGCGGGATGAGGCAGGGGTTGCGTCGGGAAGGAGACGGAGAATAGAAAGAACGGACCGTTTTTCTGTGTAATCAGTGACAGTGGTGGGTAATTTCCCACCAACTCTACGAGGAGGTTCATATTGAGTGATTTTGGAGCTGCAAAAGAGGTGCTCCAAAACTCCACCTCCATTTGTACTATAGCTCCATGGAGTCGGCTGCTCCATAGAGTTTCGAAGTTGGGGTGTTTGGCTGGATTTTTTTATGGAGTTGCTGGAGTTTAGGAGTGGAGCCATGCCAAACAGACCCTAAAATATAGAGTATGGAGCAACCACAAATGTGTCAATTAGAACAGTTCATAGTACCAAAATATTACCTACCAACTAACTGAAATATTGTGGAACCTATCTATAGAGTTGTCCATAGTAAAAGCTAACCATAAGCTTAGGGACTACCCACAAGCAATGAATTGTTTCCCACTCCTCTCTCTCTTTCTTGTCGGCTGAAATGATGGAAGGTTTCTAGTGGGACTCTTCTAATAGACTACTTGTTGGCTAAACATTGTAAGAAAACAATAGTAGCTATAGACTGGTCATGTGGGTCTTATGCATATGGACTACTTGGTCCATATACATTGTGGATGCCCTTATGGCCACGGCCATTGGAGCAAATTAAGGGTGCCTTTGGTTGGACTTTATGGGAGCTGTTTTTGCTTCCAAAAAGCCAAAAGTCTGTCAAAGGTGTGAAAATTAGAAGCTGTTTTTTTTTCTGAAGCAGCTAGTACAGTTTTGAAACCAACTTGTGCTTTTGAAATGGTGAAAATAGAGAGCTATTTCACAGTTGTTTCAAGAATAAATAGCTTACAACTTTTCCACTACCCCCAACCTTAACAGCTTTTTCAGAAACTATAGCTCAACCAAACACATCCAAAGTACGGCCTCATTTTAGGCATATTGTGATTTAATTTTGGTGATTGGACAACAATATAATTATTGAGGTTAGTTTGTCAAGTATATATCTCAGTAGGTCTTATGGATACGCAATACAAGACAAGCTAGCAGGAACAAGGGTTAAATTGAATTGAAGTCGTGGGAACATCGTACACACCGGATTATCCGAGGAGGAAAAAGTACATGTTGGAGCATTGGCCTTTGTATTCTTGGACGCGGTGAATATTATTCAAGTGTTTGGAGATTATTGTTGATGCTAGAGAAATGGAGAAACACATGAAAGATTAGAATGCTGAATGGACCAATGTGAACCCTGGAGGCTTCGCTGGACTTTGATCTAGAGATGTGCAGCACAAGTTGCAGACCTGCATGCTGTATCCACTAAAAATTTCTTTTTGGGTGTGCAACAGTTAAGTTTGGCGTGGTGTGCATGCATGCCCGACGCTGTAAAGACTGAACATGCATGTTAGACACTTGAACAACTGAAGCAGCGATTGAGTGGAGAGACGAAGTGTTTACATCGAAATGGTTCCAGCACGTGGAGGGTAGTCAAGACGCTTGGCTCCGTTTGGCAGAGCCCTCAGAGTTGATTATCTGTTGAATTCAGTTTTTTAGAGAAAAGTGATTCTTTGTTGATTCTATAAAGTGATTATCTAAAATAAACTAAGAGGCTGAGAGCTGAAAAAATAGCTTCTCTTAATTATGTGAAGTGATTCTCCATCGTGATTTTAAGAGTTTATGCTAAAAAAATCAAAGAGAATAACTTTGAGCCACAAGATCACTTCTCTCGGAGAATCAGCTCTCATAGAGAATCAGAATCAGATGGAGCTCTACCAAACGGGTCCAGATCATCCAGTATTCACAAGTGTGTGAGTTAGTAGCTAGTTGAGACCAAGGTTCAAAAGACACATTGGATCTTGACGCTTGTAAAAGAAAGTTTTCCATTGGCGAAACGACTAGTTTGATGCCAATCCTCCCCCGCTCGATCATTTGAGATTGCTGGATCCAAAGGTTCCAAAGTAATAAAAGTGATCATCCAAAGGCAATTGGACAAATAGTGCTAGAATATCAGTGTGGAAAGCAAACTATTTTTCATGTGCCAGTCCTTCTCATAGTGAGCATGAATAATTGGAGGGGGGTTATCCTCCTTCCAAACGACTACTCCAGGTTTTGATGCAGACTGAGTAGAACCTTGACAGGACTTTAGGCCTTGTTTGGATGTTATCGGATTCACCTGAATTCGCATGTGTTGAGGTATAATTTAGTTCAAGTTCCACTCTAATCCACTCCAAAACACATATGGATTGATGTCAATCCGACTACATCCAAGCAAGGCCTCATATGGGAGCACATTTACGATTAGGTCCAAATCCAAACCTTGGGATCTGAAGTGTAAGCATATATATAATTAATTTAATTTCCCAATCAATATGATGGTATTGGGTATGATCATGAGATCGATCATGAGATATGACGATTAGGTCCAAATCCAAACCTTGGGATCGGAAGTGTAAGCAAGCAGTAATTAAATCTAGCTAGACAATAATGTTCTCTGCATGCAACTGATGAGTACAAACCATTTGTGTTACAGAGAGTCCCTTGTTTTTGCCCTAATTAAGCCGAGAGCATGGCACAGTTGCAGGCGATGATTGAGTTCCAGTGACAAACGTACGGGTGATATGGAAGCGAAGCCGCCGAAGCGCCGACGTCCCTCCCTTGGATTCGACCTCCTCGATCACACCTCTCTCCTGGCCGATCGGACCGCCTAGGAATAACGTGTGTTGCACTGCAGCCGACGTGTTTTACTGTTCCCCCCCGATCTATAGCTCATCTATCTCTTTGCACTGCACCCTCGGTCCCTCCATCTCTCTCTCTCTCTCTCTCTCTCTCTCTCTCTCTCTCTCTCTCTCTCTCTCTCTCTCTCTCTCTCGTGCGTGTGTCTGTGAAAGGGATCACACACGAATGATCTACACAGCCTAGGCACCTCCCTCCTTGTCCCTTTATAAAAGGGACATGCCTCCCCCTTTCGTTCATGATCGCTAGTTCGCTTGCCTTTTGATCCCTCGCTCCAACAAATTGCCATTATTCCGACATACACAGCACCAGCCGCCGCCGCGGCTGCTGTTCTCCTCCTCCTCTCTCCATATCTCTCATCTGATCTTCACTCATCATCACCTAGCTATATATACGAGATCCTGCTAGGTCGTCCATAGCTCTATCCAGATCTCGAGCGCAAGCAAATTCCTCTCATCAGTCCCTAGCTAGCTCCCATGTCTGCCATCTACATGAGCCAGCTCTCCACTGCCCTCCCTCTCATGGAGGGAGATCATCACCAAGATCATCATCATCACCACCACCAAGGCCACTTCCAAGCCTTCACGCTGCCAAAGGATCCCCCAATCCTTTTTCCCTTTGTGATCAGCAATAGTAGCGCCAGCGAAAGCAGTCTAAGCTATGGATCGGCAGACCATCACTTGTTGAGGCAGCATCGTCATCAAGCTATGCTCGAGACCCAACATGTACGTGTTACTTAACTGTACAATAGTATGTGTTCAATTTCCCAATCATATCTTCACAGATTTAATTTCGTCACTCATGCTGCTCTTTTATAATTTCTGTTATATATATCAGATGATTGGTGGATCATCAGCTGCGAGTAGTGTCTTCGCGACGCCGTTCCCGACTATGGAGAGCATCCGTGACGACATGATCGAGCCTGCCTCGTACGATCCATACGATATGGGGAAGCTGCACCAGGTGGTCGGTGGCGGGTCGATGGATGCTTGCAGCTGGACGCCGCCGGCGGCCAAGATGAGGATCACGAGGAAGGCCACTGCCGATCCCAGTGGTGCTGCGGGGAAGAAGCCGAGGAGAAGGGCGCATCAGGCAGGGTACGACGCCGACATGAACATGAGCGGCCAACCAAATTTGGGTGTTATTAGGGTGTGCTCCGACTGCAACACCACCAAGACGCCCTTTGTGGAGGAGTGGTCCTTGCGGCCCCAAGGTATCTTTGTTTGTTGCCTCTTGCAATCCAACTCGTACTACGTGGTGTCGTGGTCCTTGCACCATGTATATATCAGTACGATTAATTAGAGAGAGAGATTCGTGCTGCATATATAATTATATTATTGCAAGCCAATGACTGTATCTTGTTTTTGCATGGCGCAGTCGCTCTGCAACGCGTGCGGTATCAGGCAGCGGAAGGCGCGGCGGGCGATGATGGCCGCCGCCTCCGGCTCGGGGCCAGCAATGCCCACCGACAGCGGCAAGGCCTCGCCCAGCAACGCCGCCGCGGCCGCAGCAGCACACCCCAAGGTGAAGAAGGAGAAGAGAGTGGACGTGGACCGGTCGCTGCCGTTCAAGAAACGGTGCAAGGTGGTCCAGGTCCAGCAGGATCATCACGCTGCGGCCGTCGCAGCTCCTGCCGCTGCCACTGACAGGGCGGCTGTCGTCGTGCAGGCCACCGCCGCCGAGGTTGGTGACGACGACGCCTGTCCGAGCAGGGACCTGCTTGTCGACGACATTGGCGGGCTCATCAGCTGGAGCAGGAGTCCGGCGGCTCCCGCATCTGCAGCTGCTGCCTCCTACAGCTTATTCCGGGCGTCGCCGGCGTTGCCGGTGCAGCAGGACGAGATCACGGACGCTGCCATGCTGCTGATGACGCTGTCCCGCGGGCTTGTCCGGAGCTGATCGACGATCGATCTACCTCTACAAAGGCCCCAGCAGCGTAGGCTTTTTGCAGCTAGCTACCTAGCTAGTGCCTTTGACTGTTAGCGTTACTGTTAGTGTGTTACTGTTAGTGGTGTTACCATCGCCGTCTACCGTACGACCTGTAGTGTTTTTTATTTGGCTTCTTGTTCTTGTTGCCAGTGTAACCCGTGTCACTGTTCAAGTCATGTGATTCGTTTGATGAGAGAGAGAAGAGAACTAGTTGAGATGATATATTGGAGCGAGAAGATCACGAGTGGAAGTGATGAGGCAAAATCGTGATTATCATCTCTAGCTACAATAGCCAGGACCGCGATATGATTGCATGTAGTGTGAGACCGTGAGGTGTTTCAGTTTTGAGCGCACTAGTTCCCCCCCCCCCCCCGATGCTGTGGCTATAATCTGGTCAATGGCTGCTATTGTTATTTATTCTTCGTTTTGGTTGAGTTTCTTGTAAGGGAGTTACTAATAATGGCAATCTGGAGACATATCGATGCAAAGCGTGCTTGTGTTCATCGCGACTCGTTCATGACTTTTGCTTCTGATGGTTCTGTCAGTATGGTCTGCTTTGAGCTGCAGTATATAAAGTTTTTGTCAGCTTGTCTGGTGGTCTCCATTTCACTGGTTTTCATGCAACATTCTCCTAATCTCCTTTATCATATGCCATCTTGTCAGGACTCAGGTCAAGATCCTGATGGAATCTGGAAGTGGAGTAGAGTTTAGGGGAGAATTAGCACGAACAAGATAGGTTCAGAGAGAAACGCCGAGAGAGATTCAGCGTTTCTATTTTTCTTTAGCTGGAGAGACTTCGCCTAATCCCTGTATCTTCTGGAATTGTAATCACCTCGCTGTCCTCTCTATAATATCTCCAATTTGCAATTCATGGAGAACGGGTTCGTTTCACTTGAGGACTCCAATCTCTCTGTGGCATTTGAACTTGTAGCTTCAGATGAATCGGTTGGTGTTAGCCAATTCAAAGTTTGTTTGCCATCAAGACTAATTGAATTCAATTGGTCAATTTGTTGAGCTTCAGAAATCTCAATCGCCCTTTATTAATGACCGATTGGATCACTTGACAAAACATATTGCAATTAGAAATATTATGATCAAATGAATTATGTCACTTGCAATATGTAAGCTCTTCTAAGTTTGGAGGTGATAGCAAAGCTTTGTGATCAACGATTCTAATAAAATTATTCTTCAACAAAATATCAAAGACATGATCACAAAAGTAAAGTCAATAGTGTACTTGATTTCTTTAACCAACTCTTTTGTGGAATCAGCTTTAAAGCTAGGCAAACAAATGGGTTAAATTTGACAACAATCCATTCAACCACACATTTGCACTTGTCTTTCTTGCCAGATGTTCTATAATTGATCATAAAACCAACATCGGCATCTGCAAAATTTCTCAATCTTAGCCCTGAATCATTAAACCCAAAATAATTATAGAATTTGTATCTCATTTGGGACCAAGTATAGAACTGAATTTAAAGCAAGTAAAAGCAACCCACGTAGATATAGAATCCAAGATGAACATTGGAGAAAGCTTTAACGTTGACAAAATATTGTTATCGGTCTCTTGATAAGGCATAATATGATGGCAGATACAATATAAATTTATTCCATCATCAACAATTAAAATACCTTCTTCAATTAGTGTCTTAACACTACTAGCAAGAGCATCGCTAATAGATGTAGCAATTGAAACAATATGACCAAATTGGGAATTTGGTAAACTACTTATACTCTGTACCTTGTTGATTGTGTCGGAGAAGTGCAGGTCCCTGATTTTAGTGTTGTTGCCCCTCCTAGCACCATCATAAGCCACCAACTGCTGGCACTCTGACACTATCTCCTTGTCTCCAGGGGTTTCATCCTTAGTGACTCAGTGTTCTTTGTCAAGAAAGAGTTGATTCGGAATGAATATTGTTTTGTTCAGTTTTATCAGCCGAACACTCGCTTCTATCCGAATCAACTCTTTCTTTGCCAATGGTGTTAGCTAACAATGCCTTTCTTCTTGCATAATTCTGACTTCACTCTCATCAGGATCTCGATACTCTTGACCTTTCAACTTTTCAAAATAGTATTTATCAAATTTCCTAGTCCTAGCATGAAAAACATCGTATGTTCCAGCAAAATAAAACCACCACTTAATACTCCCAGGTTTAGAGAATAAATCGTATGCTACACTGTTGGTTGATGGCACATGCATGCTTGCTAAAATTTCACTAATTCGGCTATGGTCATGAGTTAAATATGAAGACGAATTGTGATAATTGATCTTTGCATATGGTGTTGAATTTTCATTGATTCGGCCATGGTTATTGGTAACATATGAAGCCGAATCATGAGTATTAATTAGCACTTACATATGTTGCTGAATTTTTTTTGATTCAGCTATAGTTATTAATAACATAGGAAGACAAATCGTGAGTTTTAGCAGCACTAGCATGTCTTGGCGAACCAAGTAAATAAGAGGCGGGGCACGTGCCCCACTCAAATTCTGGGTTTCAAAGAAAATATGTCTTCTTTAGTGTAGCTGTAAGAAGACGATCGCACCATAGCAGCGTGCACTAAGGGACAGGGTGTTGAATGTCGGGCGACTAGGACGTCAATGAATTAGAACTGCATAATTATTATGCGATTATGGTGCTGATATATACATATAATCAACTATAATAAACTAACACAATTAACTTATACTCATACTACATCTGCATGGTGGCAGAGTGGAAGGTCACCAAGGACATAGCGGCGGATGAGGCGGAACGTTGGGCATCCTCCTGCCTGGACCTAGAGTGTGCCGCCACGGGCCTCTAATCCTCTGACTCCGACAGGATCTCCACCTCGCCTTCGGCCGTGTAGTAGTTTGGGGAGGTATCTGTAGCCGTTTAGTAGTTCGGGGAGGCTTCAGTCACAGCACATTGGAGCTGGCGAAGACGCCAGCCTCTCGAAGGACTGCCGAAGAGGAGGGGACGCCGGGACTTCTTCCATTGTTGATAGTAGTTCAAGACACTCACTAGGAGGATGAGCGCAAACATGACCCCGCGGAGCTGACGAGGAAGATTATCACGCCTTGTGGAATGTGCCCGCTATGAGGCTTCCTACAATAAAAAAGTGAGATGATAACTAATTTGGTAGACAAGGAGGGGTGCACGTGCCCCCCACTCATTTTGAAACAAAATTACACATATCTTAAAGCAAATATAACTAATTGACCATTTTTAATTAGAACAAAATCGGTATAATGTATCGCTAGATATACTATGAGATAATTTCCAACCAAAGCAAACTTGAATAATTTACCATCTTGTTATTACTAATTAGAGGCCCAAACGGAGACACCACGTTAATTGTCGCCAAACACGCTAGACAAAAGAATTCTCATAAATCAGAAGCATCTAGTCTTTAATTTGGTAGATTCGAATCATTATACCCATTCCTGTTAGTAGTATTTAATTTTCCCCTCCCACTACCCATTCCTGTTGGCCCCCTACTGTGGACTACCTAAAATTTTCTTTCTCCACGACTTCTTCCCCTGCGATTGCCCCCAGCCCTGGCAGCTTCCCCTCCTGGTGGAGTGGCCCTGCCTGACAACCCACCTTCTCCAACCAGCGGTGCCTCCCCGGCCCTCAGCGCGGCGGTGCTGCCCTGGCGGCTACCGTGGGCGAGCTCCCGGCGGCTCCTGTGGGCGGAGGTCCTCGGCGCGGCGGGCCTGCCCGCGTCATAGTTGTGCTGCCCCAGCGCAGTGGTGCTCCATCTCTCTGTTCCATCCATGGTGAGAAGAACATGAGAGAGGGTGACTACTAGGATGAGTTTAGGTGGCCTGGTTAGGTAGTACTGCTGGAGTTGGAAGAAAAATGGGCTCCATTGAAATAGGGGCTACCCAAGCAGACAAGTAGGGTGTTTGATTTGGGTAGCATCGCTGGAGATGCTCTTAGAGCCAGTTTGGCAAACCAAACACTTAAAATATATCTGGATTCTGGTGGAAAGCTGACAAGAGTCACTTCTATATTTACACCACTCCCTGCTGCTTCCCATTTAATCACTACTAGAATCACTTCAGAATCGATTCACTCTTCCACCAGAATCAATTCATCAAAGAATCGAGAAGTGAAACTTAAGAATCATGAACATGTTTTGCCAAACTAACCCTCAGCCTCCGCGTTGCCAAGCCAGGCAAACGGCATCGTGCTGGCTCGCGGCTCGCCTATGGCACCATGGCGAGGGAGAGAAACAACAGAAGAGAAAAGAAAAATAATCACTAATTTGGAAGCAAAGGGGCACACTCGGTGACGGAAAACCCTCCATAAAGAACTAAAAATGGTTATTTAAATGATATCCTCATGGATTTCTCGCCCTAGAAAAAGTCATGGATCCCAAAAGGATTTGAGTTTCTAAACTAGCCTAAGAGAGATTTATTTACCACGGGCATATGAGTCCCCCACCTATAGAAAGGATTAATCTTTTTAATAATCTACTATATATATATATATATAGAAAGGATTAATCTTTTTAATAATCTACTATATATATATATATATATATATCTTATATTTTCAAACCGCACTAGCAATTTATCTTGCCATACAAAGTGTCCACATCAGTATCCACCAGAACAACACACTAGCAGATGCAGCTATCTCACCATGCAAAGTGTCCACATCAGCATCCACTAACACATCCAATTAACACATGTCATTATGTCTTCATTCAAGCTATTCACATTAGCAAACCACATCATTTACTAGCATATATATATATTTAGTTGTCCACATCCACTAACCTATAGTATTACGATATTTATTTATTCATAGTAGTAAATATAAAGAGTATAATTTCATGTACTATTCCTGCAACAATGCGCGGGACGTTCTTATAATATCATCTATGCTCTACAATTTACTAGTTTTCTCAATCTGTATTTTTAACATTTCAAAAAAAAGATCTGGATTTTTAAGGAAAGGTGAAAAAGAATA